AGGGAGGGAGGGGAAGGAAGAGAGAAACATCGATGTGAGAGAGACACATCCATTGATTGCCTCCTACACGTAACCCGGTCAGAGCTAGGATCCAACCTACAACCCAGGTAGTTGCCCTTGACCGGGAGTCAAACCCTTGATCCTTCGGTGTGTTGGCCCAAAGCTCTAACCACTGAGTCACACCGTCCATGGCAGGAGCCTTTTTTTGGTGATGAAATTGTTCTGTATCTTGACTGTGGTGGGCATACAAAGCTATACATATTTTAAAAACCTTTAGTCTGTTTACCAAAAAAGTTCATTTTATATTTGTAATTTTAAAAAATTAATTATTGCCCGGCTGGGCGTGGCTCAGCGGTTAAGCATCGACCTGGGATCCAGGCGATCAGGGTTCGATTCCCGGTCAGGGCACATGCCCGGGTTGCGGGCTGCAGCCAATCAATGACTCTCTCACCATTGATGTTTCTGTCTCTCTCCCTCTCCCTTTCTCTCTCTGAAATCAATAAAGATATATTTTTTTAAAAAATTAATTATTTAAAGTGCTTTTTAAAAAGCATTTTGGTTTTTCCTGTATGTATATAAAAGGTTCACCTTTTGGGGTCACAAGCCCAAACTTGAAACCTAACCAAAACTATGAACCTCTTCTCAGAAAATAATAAAACACACAAAATTTGATTTTTTAATTCCACGTGGAGGGAAGACAAGGATGAATCCAGATTTCTGTGCTTGGCTGGATGGAGTATAGACTCACCAACTGATGGAGATAATGTGAAAAGAAAATACAGAATAATATGCAGAGTAAAAAGAAGAAATAGAAAATTGTCAGAGTGGGAGATTGGCTTTGGAAATGCGCAGCTTCGGATACGTGTTGTACATCAAGCTCTCCAGCAAGCAACTGGACACACCAGTAAAGTTTGTCTGGGCTCAGAGAAATACTAGAGTTATTTTCTATAGAAGTGGACCAAACTAAGGGTACCTCCTACTACGACTTCAATTTAACATCATTCTGGAATTTTTGGCCAATGAACTGAGACAAGTAAAAAAAATAATCTATATAAATATAGGAAAAGTTAGTTACAAATGACCTTTGCTTTTGCATTAATAAAAGTACTAAGTAAAATGTTTGGAAATGGCATACTTTAAAACTCTGAGCTTTCTTACATGCCAGTAATTCAAAATTAGAAATTATCATCATATAAAGATTTCATTCTAGGAATAAAATGTAACATATATGGTGAAAATATAGATAAAACTTTGAAACCATTAAGAGATATACCATATTTTACTGATTATAAATGTACTTTCATATCTTTTATTCTTAAAGAGAATTTTTTATTGATTTTAGAGCGAGAGAGGAAGAGAGAAACATCGACTTCCTGTTTCACTTATGCATGAATTCGCTGGCTGAGTCTCGAACCTGCAACCTTGGCGTATCAGTACAACACTCTAACCAACTGAGCTACCTGGACAGGGCTTAATATCTCTTAAATTAAGATATATCTTATAGTTTAATAGACAATATTTTTAGTGGTAAATAAAGGAATAACACACTATTATTTTCTTAAATTTGATGAAATATGGTCAAAGAAAACTTGAATGAATGGCCAAGCATTCCATGTTCAGCAAAATTTACTGTTGTAAAAATGACAGTTCTTCCTAAATTATCAATTTTATGTAATTGCCATCAAAATAATACCATTTTATTCTTTTCTTTTTTGTGGAACAAAATGATACTAAGCTTCTTCTAGAAGAGAAATGCCATGATAATATCATTTGGGGAAAGTTATTCTGGTATGTTTTGAATTACAATTTGGCAAGGTTCACCTAAGCTTACAAGTGTAAAGAAGTGATAGCAGGGGTGTTTGCAAGTTTTGACCTTGGTGGTGGTTACACAGGCTTCACTGTATAATTATTTATTAAGTTATATTGCTGTTCTGTGTACTTTCTGTATATATAGTATATTTCACAATAAAAACAGCTAAAACTTAACAACCCACAACCTGTCCAACACCTGCTATGGGTTGAACATCTCTTCGTAACTTTATTGGGCATATGTGTTTTCTTTTCTGAGAAATTCATCTTTATAACTATTTCCCATTTTTCTATTGGGTTGTTTGTTCTTTTGAAAAATTATGTACGTTCTTTATATATTCTTGATGCCATCCTTTGTCAGCTACATGGATTGCAAATATCTTTCAAGATCGCAGTTAAATCTTTTCACTCTTTTGACAAGCAGAAGTTCTTGATTTTAACATAACAAAATTTATCGGCTTTTTTGTTTAAGTTTAATGCTTTTATGTCTGGTTTAGGAAATTCTTTCCTATATGAAAGACACAAAATTATTCACATACATTTTCTAATAAAAGTTCAAAAGATTTGTTTCTGTCATTTATGTCCTAAACTTTCTAGAATTGATTTTTTTCTATAACATAAAACAAGAGTCCAATTCTATTTTTTTCTGTATGGATGAACCACCAACCTGTTCCAAAGCAACCACTGATGATGAATTACCTGGAAAGTAACGTTTCTGCTGTTCTTTCAGACATTCCAAATTCCTATGAGTGTACACACTCCTGCTGTGGGGTGTGGTGGATGACAAGCTCTGCTCAAGGACCATCTCAGGACATCTGGAAGGATCTTCAGAAACAAGAACCAAGGGTTCAATATGCAAAAAGGCTGACCCTCAACTTATAGCTGAGCTGTGTTTCAGGGCCTTTCACTTAGTCTTAGAACTTGAATTCTTGGCCCACAGATATTTGATTTACATCCCAAGTCAGCTTAGAAAAACCTACTGATATCCTGGGGCGAGGAGGGGATTGGCTCTCAAAAAGGACAAGTGGCAAAGGAGACGGACAACCATGGTTTAGTAATCATTTAATTTCTTTCTAATCCTCACCCAAGGATATGCTTTCTATTTATTTTAGTGAGAGAAAGAGAGGAAGGCAGAGGGGGAGAGAGAAACATCAGTGTGAGAGTGAATCAATGGGTTGCCTCCTGCGTGGGGATCAAGCCCACAACCTGGGTACGTGCCCTGATGGGGAATCAAACTTGCAGCCTTCTGGTGTACAGGACAACACTCCAACCAACTGGACCACAGGGACCAAGGCTGTTTGGTCATCTTTTAGCTCAAAAATGTAAGTGGGGCAATAAGAAAGGGAGACTATTTACTCCAGGGGACCATATATAATGGGAAGGCAGAGGAAAGTGGCAATAAGTTAAAGAGGACATATGAAAAGGAATTTCCTGAATAATTAAATGTGACTTTATAGTCAGAAAGGAAGAGAACTGATTATGAACACAAGAAAGGATGTGAAGATAGAAACTGCTAGGTCAAACAGCCCTGTACACCACCCTCCAGTGGTTCAACTAGCCCAGGGCATCTGCTGGATGCAGGATATTTAAAATGGGCAGAGGGAAAGAAGGGCAGTGCCCACCAACTGCATCTATAGGAATTAATAAATCAGATATCTGCACCTCAGAGATTACCTCTCTTTCCCAAGATTTTAAAACAATACCTCCCTTTCCTCCCTCCCACTACCCACCCCCCAGCAACATTACAGTTATTATGGATTCTGCTCCCTGACCTGGGTCGGCTTCTGTCATCCAGGTTACCCATTCCTTTGTGTCCAGCTGTCTCACGCAGTTGTCCTTCACCGTCCAGGCACAAGGCTTTTTGGCAAACACCACACAGCAGAACGGTTCCACCTTGACTGCACAGACATATCCATGGAGGGCCCCCTGATTGTATACTTCAAGGAATTTGAGGGCATATTTTATCTCACACTTCTGGGTACAGAAACGATAGACAGGTAACTTCCTAATACAGCCACCAATATAGTCCTTCAAAGTGGTAAGATCAGCCATTTTCTCTTTCTCACATCCAATGACTTCAAGGGTCTCTTCATGCACCCCCCAAAATATGTACCCTCCTTCAGTGTTTGCAAACGCAGACACACAACTGGGGATAGCCTTGTTGAAGCACTCTAATACCTTCTCTGAGAACATTTTAAATTCAACATGCGTGGACCTGGTAAATTTGAGCTTTTCCAGGTACTGAAGGCTAGTTCTATCAAATAAAGCCTCAGCTGAGGCCATTATGTTACCTTCGTTTTGTACACCTTCCTGGAAATTCCGTGTACTTAAACTGGGATCATGAATGTTCTTAAGAGACTGAATCTTCTCTTTGAGGAATTTCAGTGCTTCCTGAGACGTCAGGACATTAGTAGATGTTTTATCTCTTTGGTACAAATTGGAAGACAAAGTAGCAAACCGTACACCAGAGGCCTCTGCATTCCACGATTTCACAAAAATATAAAAGAGGTCTTGGTCATCCTGTTGCATCTCATCTAAATAGCCTCTGAAAATTGGTTTCCATTTCAATCCTACCCCATCCCTTTTATAACTGTAGTCTTCGTTCTCAATCTCAATCTTGACCACTCCTCCGCCAGAATTCAGCAGAGCGCATACTGCACGAAAGATGATTGTAGCCTGTCTGCTCTGCAGGCCAGGGTCCATTTGTGCCCTTTGTTTATCCCCGAGGGTGACTTTTCCTACATTTAAAACACACTCGGCAAAGTTCGTTTCCAAATCAACCTTGAGACTCATCTTCTTGGCACTTTTCCTGTTCTTACCCTGAGCTGTTCTCCTAAAAAACAGGAAAATGGAACCATTGGAATAGGACAGGAACAGGGGCAGGAGGAAATGGACAGTTTAGGGCCATTTTTCTGAAGCAAGTTATTTTATTTCCACTGAGCTTGAGGTGAGATTCATACGTGAAGGGTCTACAACAGGTTGAGGAGATACGACTGCTGGAAGCCCACTGCCGCTACAGAAATGAGCAAGAGGCTATTTTTTTGTTGTTTTTCAATTTCAAAACAACTTTTATTTTGATAAGAGTGATGTTACCTATCTTTTTTACATCGTTTACCTAGTTCTTCTCTTTATTCAATTATTTAGTAATGATAAGTCAAAAAGCATTTAGTTTACTAAGGTTTATGTAGTGCCATTTGTTGAAATCGAATATGATTTATAGCACGCAAAGACAAACTTATGTGTATTCGGTCTAATTAATCATATTCATAGCGGACAGTAAATATTTCTGTATATACTAATTATACTTTATTGTAACTGAAAACAGATAGATTGACTTAAATAACAGATTGACTTCAATAACAAAGAACACTGTTAACAAAGTTAGGACATAAAACTAACCACATCTGTTTTTTGGAAAAACATGAAAAATAAGTATTTTTAGGTTAAAGAAATGACTTGAATATATGAGGCTATTTTTATGCTATGATTTTAGTGACTGTTTCTGCCAAGTTCTCTAAATGACAAGGTCTCTCAAGATACCTGCAAAAAATAGGAAGCATTACAAAGATACACATGGATAGGAGCTGCAAGGCAATGGAAAAGATTTCATGGTCAAAATATATCTTTGAGGTATAGTGATATTTATTGTTATTCTTGGTACTTTTTTTTCTCCTCTCACTGATACATGGGCAATTCTTATATTATTTTATAGTCTACTTTTGTGAAGGAGCAAATATGATTGAGCTGGCAATTTATCACTGTTGCTATGAAACAGATCCTTTAGCTCCTTCTGGTCCAAGCATTTCCCATCTTGTGAAAAAAAATTTTTATATATAATTTATTATTATGTATAATATATTTACATAAAAATATATATAATAATTATTATATATATTTATATTTTGCAACTAACAAACAAATTATTGACTGTTTGTTTGGAACAACCAGGATATCAGTTTCAGGTGGGTTTCCGACATTTCCTAAACTTCAACTGACAACAAAGAATCTCAGAAGAGGGAACGCTGAATGAGAGCATGCAGACACATCATCTTTGCAACCACATTGCGGGACTGAAAGCGGGTATGAGTGACACACATCCTTGCAACTGCCCATCTTTGGCCAACTTGTGACAGCTGAGGAAGAAAAAAGAGCAACTAAACCAACTCACAAATAATTGCAAAACCCTCTATCATGAGAAACTTCATTGTGAACCAAGAAGATGTCATGCTATCTGGGCAGTGTCCTGGCTCTGTCCTCCCTCACCCCCCAGCCCCCACCCATACACACTGTCTTCCTCAAATACCTGCATACAGGGAACAAAAGATGAAAACCAAGAGAGAAGCAAACACAATCCCCTAGATGAGTGTGAAGACAAAGCCCAGAATGAAAGGTGTAGGACAGGCCTAAAGGATCACGAGCCAAAACTGGAACAAAATTGCAGCAAGCTCCAGTGGGTGGCACCTGAGACTATACGACTGGTGGGATTTAATAAGTTAGCCAAAGGAGAGGTGGAGATTTTGAGAATAAATTAGTAATAGGGATTTCGGAAAATATGCAAATACAGATATAAGACAATAATTGAGCTTAAAATAAAAATATGGGAAATAAAATATAATCATAAGGCATTAGATGGCACAGCTATAAATAAAATGACAGTCATAATAATATAAACTCTAAATATTGTTCTGATCAGAAATGATGATATAATTGTACTTTTAGGATGTGGGGAGAGAAAGTGTAGGGAAAGAAGTATGAGAGATCAATACCTTTATCTCCAGAAACAGACAATATCTAAAACTTGGGGAGGGGGAAGGTTAGGGAGAGCATAAGCATGTTTATAAATATATAGTTAAATGCCAAAAGTAAAAGCCAAGGAGGCAAGAGCAGGAAAAGTAGATGAGGGTATGTAGATGGGGATTCTTATTATCTTTTACAGAACTACATACATAAGACTTCCTCTTCCAGTCAGAAGAGAATATCAGGGACTAGATTACTCTCCAGTCTGAAACAACTAAAATATTTCTGAAGAAATAATGGCCAGAAATTTTCCAAATTTGACTTAACCTATACAAAATCAAGATCAAAATCCAAGATATTCAACAAGCACAAGAAACATGAAGAACACTACACCAAGCTCGTCACAATTAATTTACTCAAAACTAGTAATAAAGAGAAAATCTTAAAAGCAACCAAAGGAACAAGGTATACAACATATAGAGAAACAAAAAAAAAATAACATTAGCTTTTTTTGTCAGAAACAAAGCAAGTGAGAAGATAGCGGATCAACATCTTTAAACCACTGAAAGAAGAAACGCACTGTCAACCAAGAGTTCGATGCTCAGTGAGAATATCTTTCACAATTAGGCTAACTCAACAACAAAAAGACAAACAATCCAGTTTCTACAATGAACAAAGGACTTGAAGACACATTTCTCCAAAGAAGAAATACAAATGATCAATAAACACATGAGAAGATGCTCAACATCATTAGTCCTTAAGGACATGTAAATCAAAAGCACAATGATACATCACTTCACACCGACTTGGATAGTAATAATAATAATAGTAAAAACAAACAAACACGTTGGTGAGGATGTAGAGAGACTGGAATCCACATACATTGCTGGTAGGAATATAAAACATTGTGGCCATTGTGGAAAATAGTTTGGAAGTTCTTCAAAAAGCTAAACATAGAATTACCGTATGTCCCAACAATTCCACTCCTAAGTATATACCAAACAGAATTGGAAGCAGGCAATCAAATGAATCCTTGAAACTCAAGTAAGTCATGAATGTTCATAGCAGCACTGTTCACAATAGCCAAAAGGTAGAAACAACTCAAATGTCTATCAACAGATGTATGGATAAACAAATTGTGCTATATTCATACAATAGAATATTATTCAGCCATAAAAAGGAATAAAGTACTGATACATGCTTCAACACAGATGAACACTATGGTAAGTAAAAGAGCCAGACACAAAAGGTCAGTGATGGACTGTATGTTTATGTCCCCCAGAACTGGTACATTGAAACCCTAACCTCCATTGGGATGGTATTAGGAGGTGGGGCTAGGAACAGATCATCACATTTCAGTTGTCTTCCACTTGCAAGAAAGTACTAAAACTTGTGATTGCTCGTTTTCTTTTTTCTTTTTCTTTTATTTATTGATTTGGGGGGGGGGAGACTCAGTGTTTCACTTATTTATGCATTCCTTGGTTGCTTCTTGTATGTGCCCTGACCGGGAATAGAACCCACAACCGTGGGGTATTAGCATGATGCTCTAACTAACTGAGCAACGAGACCAGGGAGCTCATCTGCTTTTTTTTTTTAAACATATCTTTATTAATTTCAGAGAGAGGAAAGGAGGGGGAGAGAGATAGAAACATCAATGATGAGAGAGTCATTGATCGGCTGCCTAGCCCGCAAACCGGGCATGTGCCCTGACCAGGAATTGAACCTCGATCCCCTGGATCCTAGGTCCATGCTCACCCGCTGAGCCACCCCCAGCCGGGCTCATTTTCTTATTGAAACAAAAGAATTGAAGAGTCTAGTGTGGTGAAGACCTGGGAACCAGGTGGAGAGGGGCAAGGGGCAAAAGGGCTGGGTGGGGGGTACACATCTGTAATACTCTCAACAATAAAGTTAAAAAGAAAAAAAAACTATATTGTAGGTCCTAACAATACAATGGGACAAGAAAAGAAAGATTTATAAGACAGAAAAGATCAAACCAAATTATCATTATTTTCAGACATAATACCTAGGTAGAAATCCAAGAAAAGTTGTAGAAATAAATAAAAAGTTGTCGAAAAAAACATTTCTGACACAGGATGCTGTTCTTCACTGTTTCTCTTTCCTGCTCTTCTGGCCACAGGAACTCTCACCTCCGCCCCTCACACATTCCAGTGTTATCAGTTTCGTTTCCCCCCCCCCC